AAATGGAATTTCAGGTAAATAAGATTTTCCTTTTTTTGTTGTCAACCCAGGTGTCACGGCTCAGGTGGGGTGTCACCTGACGCTGCCACCACTCTGGATTTAGGTTCTCTTGAGAAGGCCTAGAGTACCCTCCCAAGACCTTCAGACCTCCCTTTTGGCCGAATAATAGGCTTGAGGACCAGGCAGAGTGAAACAAGGAAAGGGTTTATTTTATAGGAGGTCAAACAACAAGGTGCAGAATAATAACAGTAAGTGGGTGAAAAGAAAAGAAATCAAATGCCCTAACGCATCTAAATATACTTTCTGTAGCTCACTATCTCAAGTGGCCTTACACTACTCACCCCTCCCTCAGGATGAGGGTTTTTCCACTGCAGCAGCCTTCCTTCTGGCTCTGCCCTCTGGAAGAAAGAACAGCTCTTCCTGCTGCTCCAGAACTTTTATTCCCAGCCCTCCTCTTTTCCTATTGGTCCATTTTGGCTCCAAAACCTCCCAGGGGCTTCTGGGAGTTGTAGGCTCAGCCTCACCTACTGCTAGCCAGGCTCTCTGGGCCTAGTAGGCCTCTGGTGGCACAGCCCGGATCATGACACCAGGGCTACAAAATCGGTGACCTGTCAAGTACATGGCAGAGTAAACACGAAAAGGCTTTTGGAATTGGTCTCTCATTAGGATTGGCTTTGAAGACTCTCTCTAAAGTCCTTTATGTAGTGAGAGTTACCTTATATAATTTCTAGGGTTAGCATGTGCTTAGAGTGCGAATACGTTTACATTTCTATTCTGAACGAAGAAAAAGAGCCCTTATTTCCAGCATATGAACAGGACACTGAGTCTAAAGCAGTAGTTTGCTTCAAGACACAAAATTCAGATGGGACCAGAATCTCAGGCATTCAAGCAGGCCCTATTAATACACTAATCTCTGTCTTCTACTGGTTCTCAAGTTTGGCATAAGATTCTACCACCTGCCATACAGTGAGGGGTGCGGACGTATGTTCTCATCCAGCTAATTGCTACATCAGTGTTTTTAGCACCACACATTACAAGTTTAAAGGCATTCTGAGTACAGCAGCTGCAGGAATTTCCATTTTAAAACACCAGTTTCCTCAGATATTCCATGTCGATGATTAGTTTGAAAAAATGTCAACATTTCCTTGGAGACCGTCAAATATTTATGCGAGTTTAACAGATCTCAATTTGGAACTAATGAGGGCTGCTCAGCCAGAACAATGACAAATCGGCTTCATTCACCTGCATAGGAAGGGGAAGACTGCAGTGCCTACAAATAAGGAGTATTCCGTATAGCTTCCCACCTACACCATTCCAAATTCCACTACAGTCAAGAACTTTATATTTTAAGCAACAGCAAGGGAGGGAAGGATGACGATATATTTTCCAAGCTGAACAACAAATGTCCTGTCAGCTTGTCCTATGAGGCGCTATCTTTCATCATAACAAGTGTTCCAGGGAGCAAACTGAGGAAGCTTAGTCAGCAGAACCCTGAATAAATTACTGTGTGGCCTTGAGCTAGTGGATGGAAAGTTCTGCAGCATCATAAAGATGAGCAAGTGAGAAGGGAAAGTTTATTTCCCTCTTTAATATTGGGTGTGAGAGACAGAGATGACACTGCTGCCAAACTCACAAAAGTAAAACTGCAAAGCTCAGAGTCCTTACACTATTATCTAGAGAGGTAAAAAACCTCGTTTGCTCCTCACAGGGAGAGCTCAGCCTAGTTATGTATGGAGACTGAAGAAGGCAGGACACAGCTCTCACTGCTGTTGAGCATCCCCTAGAAAAACTAGTTACTTATCCATAACTAGTCTTATTTGAGTGGTCATTTGTGCAGTCACTCAAAATGGCTCTGCCAGTCTTAAAGAGTCACTATGAAAGGTATTACCAAAAAAAACACATGGAAACTAACTGAGCCAAAGAGATTTTCAGTTTCCATGTGGTGGTTTTTTTTTGACAATACACAAACCCACTAGATCATGGTACTCAGTGGTGAATAAATGCTCCATCTGGCCTTCACTGCTTTCGGGGCCCAGGCTCCTATGTGAAAATCAGAAGTTTATTTAGTCCAGGTCCAATGTGAATACCTTGTTTTCCCAACAAGCAATCACTTAATGCTCTAGCTAAAAACTTTATTTAAAAGTAATATAACTAGATGTGAGAAAATAAAATATAAACCAAAGAAACACAAATCACACCGGCATGTGTAAAAGCTGTTACAGGTAACTGAAAATGCATGACAATTCTGCTTTACTTACACTGAATCTAAGAATGAGTCCAAATTCGAACTTTCTTACCAAAGCATATGCAGAAAAGGCAACCTCACTATATCCAGATCTGAAATGTTTGGATGTCACACAGTGCTGGGAGTTTACGCAGATTGAGAGTGAAAATCGTTTTCCCCCAACTTTTTATTTTAACATTTTTCCAGAAAGGTTCTAAATAACAAGTACGCAATATATTAACAAGTATGTGGATGGAGTACATATAAAACAGGGGTTGCACTTACCTGTAACCTTTGTTCATTGAGTGGTCTTCTGTGCAGTCGCAGGCCAGCCACCGGGATGACACCCAATTGAAGGCTGGTTTAGGTACAGATTTGTCACTGCTGGTTTAGGTAGAGACTTGCTTATAGTACACTAACACAGTTGAGACCACAGAAACCAATTCAGGCAACTTGTCAGGCACAATAAGTGCTTTCTCTAAAGGTGCATAGTGCACAGATGAAAAAAATGATTGTAGAAAGCTTGTACCTTCAGCCATCAATAGTGTCCCTTGCCAAGGCAGAAATCGTGGAGGGAACCTCACCCTGACACTATAGGCACGTCTTATGGTGATCTTCTCAGTCATATGCTGGTGGAGGGGAGAACAATATTTTTTGTTCACAAAACTCCCCAAAACAGCTAATGAGGCAAAAGACTGGAAGATGGAGAAATAGGTAGAAAAAAAACTGAGGCCAAAGTTGGAAGAAAAGAAAATTTATTCTCACGCAGAGAAAAACTCAAGACAAAGTTTTCTGTCAGTGCTAGTCAAATGACAATAATGTGCAGGCTCCAAAGGGGGTAGAATTTTGCAACTAAAAGCTTAGCAGTTCAAGAAGGCTCCAAATAGAGAATCTGTGCAGATGTAGAGTCTATTTGTGTTGTGTACAAAGACCACAACAAAGAATGCTCTAAAACCAAACCACAACTATCCCACACACATTTATTTACTTTTTTATTTTAATAGCAGAACAACAACTAATAACGTCTTCAGCATCCCAATTAACGTGGAAACCCTAAGAGACCAGCCAATAAGTTTGCCAGTGTACAGACAATCCCACCCAGGTTTCCAGCACAAAGCGTTTGTCTGTACACCAAAGTTGTATTGAGAGATGCTCTCCATCAAGACCATTGCCCCATACGGGACAGCATGAAGATTGAGGCATTGATGACTAGGACCAAGTGAGTGCCCTTCCCAGGAACACAAGTTGGACAATGTGAAGTAATATAACCAAAGGGCACAGCAATCAAATATGTCAGTTTACAAAACAATTGCTGCAGCTGTTCACATATTCACAAAACAAGAATAATTATATGTTGGTATTTCTTTCTTTAATCCAAGGTTTCCTTTTCAACAGGTCAGAACATCAAGTCACTGAAGTGCTTACGAACTTCCTCGAGTTTCAATGTTCGTTTCGAGGGATATCCGTTGAAAAGGAACCATTTGTTAACTTGGGAGCTACCCATAGCCATTTTGAAATTGTCAACCACTTTATTGGATTGCTTTGTGAAAGAATTACAACACAACAGAATTTTGATAAAGATATCCCTCGAAACGAACATTGAAACTTGAGGAAGTTCGTAAGCAAGCACTTCAGTGACTTGATGTTCTGACCTGTTGAAAAGGAAACCTTGGACAATGTGAAGTGTCAGTTTGATTACCTCCCCCTATCATCAGTCCACACTAAACCTGCCATCTTAGTTGGCCTCCATTCCGATACAATATAAAGTAGGCAACAAAGGGCTCTCTCATAGCCAGTTAGAGATAATCCCCCCAAAATTCTGCTCAGCCCAAAGCAATCAGCTAATCCCATACTGCAGACAAACGTGTATATATATATATATATTACACACACACACACACACACACGTCCAAAGAAATCTGCCATTTCAGACCAAACGTTATATTTACATTTGTTTCTTGTCTATGAAAGAACTATTTTAATTGCTCCAGTCCATATTTCAATGTGTGATACAGTTGTTGCTTTCCACTTTCGAAGGATTATTTAACATATATGTTAAATCTGCACTTGGCTACTTACCAACATCTATTTGTCAGATAACCCCAATTTAACAACTCTACTAGAAATCCAATAATTGCAGAGAATTATTCTTTTTTTGCATTAATTGTAATCTAAGGTCTAAGGAAGTTTAACATTATTTCTTGCCAGACTGTTTTCTGGCAAGATTGCTGAGGGGAAAGTTAAGTAACAACTTGATCAAAGTAATTAAAAATATTGGGGTGGGGGGTTGACATTTGCTCCACGTATCCTACAGGTTGATAACCAACTGGTGGATTAATATTTTGATTTCTTGCCTGCCCAAGAAATAATCTATCATGGAATGCAAGGAAGAACCCACTTGGAGTGGGGGGTGGAGCAACTGTCCCTGCTTCATGAGGAGGCATGCGACCTACTTCTGTAGGATTGTGATGCTACCAATGCTCCCTCTAAGCTGTGGTCTTGTGAGCAAAAATTCAACTTGGTGAGCTACTGGCATGAAAGTTGTGAGCTAGCAATTTGGCTACAGCATCAATTAATTTGCTCTGGAGCCATCCTTCCTGAGCTAAGACAAAAATGTCTGAGCCGGAGGCTAAAAAACAGTGAGGTAGCTCACACTAACTCAGCTTAGAGGGAACACTGGATGGTACCCTGCTGATACTGGGACTGGTAACAATGAGGGGGTTGTATGGAACACATTACATTCTCTTAGTGGTATGTGACATATACAGGCACTTACGTATGATTCCATCTGGGCTATCCTCATGCTTGGGTAAGTAGTGTGCAGAGAGATCACTTTGAAGTACTTCATCTGCCGTTGCACGAGCTAAAGCTGCTGCCAGAAGTGAAGGGCAATTACTGAAAGAGAAAGAATACAAGGTAACTCATTTTCAGTTAATAATACGAATGGAATTATATATATACATACATACATACACATATATGTGTGTGTGTGTGTGTATACACACACACACACACACACACACACACACATATATAGGCTAGTCAGTGTGCATTTTATTTTTTAAAGATCTTCTATTTATACCTTCCAGTAGCAACCAATTGTAGGGTTAGATCATAAGCACATCTCTTTGCACTTATCTTGGCACAGACAAATGAGAGCTTTATGCTGCAGTGGCTAAGGGAATAAACTGAGAAGCAGGAAATCCCTGATTCAAAATTTCCCTCTGCCATAAACTCATTAAGGAGTCTGATCCGTAGGTATATGGAGCCCCCCCCCCCCCCGGCAAAACTCCCCGGCTAAACTTTACATACCATATCTACTTCTTTCTTGGCTGTTTTCTCACAGAATGTTTTTCCCTAGGTGGCACATAGCATACCCATAATTTATTTGGGAGCTTCCACATGACACTGTGCTCTTTCAGAGCATGGCTCATGGGGCTTTGGGGGCTTTCCTTTTTAAGCCCCCGCTGGAGGGGGAGGCTCTGCTCTAATTTAAAGGGGAAGCTGCACCAGCTGCAGACTGACCCTTCATGGAAACCTTCTGCCCACAGCCAATCCGGGGGGGGGGGGGGGGGGGGGCCCACCTTCAACATGGTGACACTAAGCTTGTGCATACAACCTACCCCAACTTTTAGCCCTTGAACAGAGCTTTTCCCCCATTTAATAACTGAGCTTGGCTGGGGAGAGGATTCTCATCTTTTCAGTACGTCTTTGCCAATGTGACAAGCAAGAAGAAAGTGGGGAGGTGCAGTGCCAGCCGCAAGCGGTGCAGGGATGGGTTTTATGAGGTACATAAGGTTGGCCTTTCTCAACCCTGTGTGGATGCATCCTGTTTTACCCGAGAGCTTACTCACACCAACCAAAAAGCACAAAGGCAGACAGAGTAGCATGCCTGCTTCCCTTCCACCAGCTAGCTGGTGGTACTAGGGGCAGAGCCCAGAAGGTAAGGAGGTAATGGTGCTCCTTCCTCACACATATACACTGGTTTGCCAGGCTGTTTGCAGTCCAGTGGGCCAGCTGGTGGGCACTGCCCTCTGCCTCCATGCTTTCTGGCTGGCTGCAGAACAGGGTTGCCAAACCTGGGTCTGGAAATACCTGGAGATTTGAGGGTGGAGCCTAGGAGGGTGGAGTTTGGGGAGAGGAGGGACCTCAGCAGAGTATAAAGACAAACAGTCCACTCTCCCAAACAGACATTTTCTCCAGGAGAAGTGGAATAAATGTTTTGAATACATAAACATTAAATAAATAAGCAATCTATGTAGTCTGGAGATCAGCTGTAATTCCAGGAGCTCTCCAGCCCTCACCGGGAGGCTGGCAACCCTGCTACAGAAGGTAGAGGCAGAAAGCAGAGCCACGCCCCCCCCGCTGCCGCCCCCCCCCACAGGCTCACCAGGCTATTTGCAGTCTGGCAAGCCAGCGGGGGGGGGGATGCCCCACTCTCTGCTTCTGCATCTTATTGCTCATTGCTTCGGGGGAGAGTGGTCTATAAATTTAATAGTAGTGGTGATGACGACGACAATGACAACAGGAGGAGGTGGAGAGCAGGACTGTATTAAATTCAAGGTTATCTTTTTTCAAAAGCCTTCTTCTTTTTGGGGGGGAGGTGGTGTTGTCTTAAATACAGCGTTGTCCTCTTTGGGTAAATACAATACGATCCTATTTGATGTCTCAAGTTTTGCATACATTAGATCTGTCCTTGCCCTGGAATAACTTCTCCTCCATCCCCCAGCATCCGCTACCTGTTCCAACTGCTCCCCTGCTCAGTACCCCCAGCTGGTACTGAGGGGTATAGGCTTGCAGCTACTGCAAAGGTAATTTGCCACGGTCTCCAACACAACTGTGCTCCTCTGGATATTTTTTCAAAGCAAAAACATCTTACGACACATAGAAACTCCCTCTCTAACCAACAGTTAGTGCTCAGAACAAGCACTGGAAGGCAGCAACAGGCTTCCCGTTTCACGCACTGTACTCAGCTGTTCTCCTTCGTACTGCTTCAGTTATCACTCAGGCCAACAAAACTGCCATTCGATTAGAGGTTTCTAACTTAAATGCACATGCCAGGTCTCTCAGCTTTTACAATGTTTAGCATTTGATGTTTATGTAAGTTACTTAACCATAGGGTTAAAATTAAAAATACCAGCAATACCCCTGCCAAACTATCCTGTCAAGGTGAAAAGTTCTAGCCCTTTAACTTAAATGCCATTTACACATGCCCTTTCCTTGCATCAACAGCCATGCAATCTACTCACACAGCTACTTCAAAGCTCACTATTATGCACAGTAATGAAGCGTAACTACCAAGGGATATTAACTGTCTATGGCTGACTCTTCCTAGCACTAGGTGAATCCTCAGATATCATCTGACATATAGCAAGATGCTGAAATTCATAAGAACATAAGAGAAGCCAAGCTGGATCAGGCCAATAGCCCATCTAGTCCAACTCACTGTGTCACACAGTGTCCAAAAACCTGGTGCCATCAGGAGGTCCACCAGCAGGGCCAGAACTCCAGAAGCCCTCCCACTGTTGCCCCTCCAAGTGCCCAGAATAGATAGCATCACTGCCCCAGACATAGTGTTCCATCTATACCTTGCAGCTAATAGCCACTGAGGGAGCTCTGATCTATATCTATATATCTAATTCTCAACAGTCCCCTTTGTATGTGGATACCTATTTCTGCAGATAGGGGGCTCACTCTCCCCCAACAGGTTTTTCTGCAGACTCAGGGGACTCTGTGGGTCTCCAGAAAACCCCCAAAAGTTTTTTAAAAAAACCCTCAGGAAGGGTGAATCCCCCCCCCACACCTTTTGAAATGGCTGGCACAGGGATCTACTCCAGGCCCCACCACATGAACAGTGAGAGATAGACTGGCTGATAAAGAGAGAGACAGAGAGGAAAGGAAACCAAACCAAAACTGGAGCTAGGATTGGGAAGGATTCCTCTTTCAGTATGAATGGCTAAATAGCAGGGGGGTTGAAGCCAGGAGTGGGACTAGGCTTGCCCACTCCAGGTAGGGAAACTTCTCAGAGATTCTGTGGTGAAGTCTGAGGAGTACACAGGTTTTTTTGGGGGGGAGAGGCCTCAGCTGGATATAATGCCACAGAGACCGCTCATTTTCTCCAGGGTCAAGATCTCTGTTGTCTGGAGTTCAGTTGTAATTCTGGGGAATCTCCAGGTCCCACCTGGAGGCTGGCAAAGCTAAGCCTAACAGCACCCTCTGGGTGACTGGATACCACCTGACTTGCATGATTCAACTAGGCCTGGCTGCTTGCTACTGTCAAACAGCAGCCACCCTATGAAAATCAGTGTAGTATAATGGTCAGAGCTTCAAAGTAGGGTTTGCGAAACCCAGGTTTAGATCCCCATCTTGCTGTGGAAGCTCACTGGGTGATTTTGGACCAGTCACATACTTTCAGCCTAACCTACCTCATAGGGCTGTTGTGTGGATTAAAAGGGGGAGAGAATAATGTAAACTGGTTTAGTCCCCACTGTGGAGAAATACCATAGTTTTCCTCAGTAGAAGCTGCAGGAAGAAAGGAGATGAAAAGCTGAAAACAGAGGGCAGATAAAGGTAAGTTGACAGTTGGGTGGGAAGGAGATAGGGATGCCAACTCCAGGTTGGGAAATTCCTGGATATTTGAAGGGTGGAGCCTGGGGATGGTGAGGATTGAGGCGGGGAGGGACTTCAGAAAGCTTTAATGTGATAGACTCCACCCTCCAAAGCAGTCATTTCTTCCAGAGGAACTAAAGTTGCTAACCTCCAGGTGAGGGCTGGAGATCTCCTGGAATTACAACTGATCTCCAGATGACAATTCCCCTGGAGAAAATGGCTGCTTTGAAGGGTGGAGTTTATGGTATTAAACCCTGCTGAGGTCAATTCCAAGCTCAAACCTCATCCTCCCAAGGCTCTACCCCCAAATTTCCAGGAATTTCCCAACATGGAGCTGGCAACCCTAAGAGGAACTGATCTCTGTATGTGGGCAATCCATTGTGATCCCTGGAGAATGACAGCTGCCACTGCTGTGGGGGAGGGGGGGAAGTAGGTGGGAGGCCGGGAGAGTAACAGAGGCAGAAAGAGTGATGGGGTGGGGGCAGAAAGGGGACAGGCATGGAGGAGGGAGAGACAGAGTAAGAAAAAGGGTGGCAGGAAGGAGAAAGAGGGTAAGAAAGATAGGGGGAGAGAGGAAGAAGCAGAGGTGGGGGGAATGGGATAGCTGCTCCCGCATGTTTCTTGCGGGTCCCACTTGTGTTTATCTAATCCTCTCTTGAAGATGACTATTCTTGTAGCCACCCACCACCACTCCCTGTGGCAGGGAATTCCATGTGTTAATTACTCTGTAGGTAAAGAAGTACTTCCTTTTATCTGTTCTAAACCTACTGCTCATTAATTTCACTGAGTGCTCACTAGTTCTTGTATTGTGAGAAAAGGAGGAATGTACTTCTTTCTCTACCTTCTCTATCCCATGCATAATTTTGTAAACGTCTACCATGTCACCTCTCAGCCATTGTTTCTCCAAGCTAAAGAGCCCTAACCTCTTTAACCTTTCTTCATAGGGAAAGTGTTTCATTCATCCCTTTAATCATTTTAGTTGCCCTTTTCTGCACTTTTTCCAATGCTATATCTTTTTTTGAGGTGCGGTGATCAGAACTGTACACAGTATTCCAAATGAGGCTGCACCATCGATTTATACAAGGACATTATGATACTCGCTGATTTGTTTTCCATTCCCTTCCTAATAATCCCCAGCATAGCATTTGCCTTTTTAATTGCCATTTCACACTGAGTCAACATTTTCAGTGAGTTATCTACCACGAGATCTTTCTCCTGGTCAGTCTGTGCCAGTTCGGACACCATCAATGTGTATTTATAGTTATGATTTTTGGCTCCAATGTGCA